TCTTTGTGCTACCAATATAATATTGAGCCAATCTTGCATTCAGTAAATCCAACTTGTACATGAGGCTGTTTACCTTAGGTTACATTGTAATTATATTATAACCTTAGGGTTATATTGTCTTCATTTTATTAGGATCTTGAAGGTTTTATTCACATTTGATACTAATCTATACAGTAGACCTTTAAACAGAAATGGAAAACTGTTTTGACAAACTATCAAATAAAATACCAGTGATGTAAAATAAAATGGCATAGTAAACAAAACTAATTATAGGCCTGGATTATTTGAAACTGACATGGTTTGTTAGCGCAGCACAATTACTAATATACTGTCTTTACAAAAAACCTAGTCAGGTTCAAGTCTCTACTCTACCACTAAGCAGATATAAATCCAGACAGATCACTTAGCATACCCTTATCTAATTTATTCTTGTATTTATACAAAAAAGTATATCAGTTAATCACACAGTTATGAAAATCAGAGAAGATAGCAAATGCAATGGTACTGTATCAGTAATTCCTATAGAGTAAGTGAAACTTCGGCATGGTAAGTGAAATAAGAAATCATTGCAGATGGTTTTCAATCCTGAGAGACTAAAGACATAGTGCTACTCTTTGTTATTAAAATGCCACGATGAGATGGGATAGGCCTGAGTTGATGGGAAAAACATAACTCATTCAGAGTTTTAAAAAAACTTAAGTTTTATTAATTAAAACATTACTATGATATATTCTAAGTAAACTGGTATCAGTGTGATACAATAATTTAAACATGAATTCTACACATAGTGAATTCTTTTAAGTTCTTCTCTCTCATAATTGTAGTATTCAATTACCAAGAATAAGACTAATTTGTCACTATTCTTTGGCATGCAACAGCTATTTCCTTTCACAAGTTACAATAACCACCATTTCATCTCCATTATTTCAACCACATAAATAGTCCCTATTCCTATCAAAATCTCAATCTTTCAATGTTATGGCCTTCTTTGTTTCATGGTCACCTGGAAGAGCAATTATTTCTGTCAATCCAGTGGCCCTCAGTTGTATTGATAAATCTGTTGAAGAGGTTCCTGAATACACTAGTTATGATAATTTGCAACGGTTGTACATATATGCTGTCCCCATCTGTGTTCTCAAAGTCACGAAATGTAGTATCTTAACATTCAGTGTCCTTGATCTTCCAGGAAACGTGGATATGAATCATTCCCATCATATGAAATAGGCCCTTTGATCTTACTGATTCTTTCCCTGAGACATTCATGGTGATACATAAAAAGCACATAACAAAAGCATAGCATTGACCAATTTCAAACTTTGGGATGAAAAACATCAAAAGTAACATAGGCTTTTTGGCTGGGCTTGGTGGTTCACACCTGTAATCCTAGCATTTTGGGAGGCCAAGGCAGGATTGCTTGAGGCCATGAGCTTGAGACCAGCCTAGGCAACACAGTAAGACTCTGTCTCTACAAAAAATTTAAAAATTAGCCAGATGTGGTGGTGCACACCTGTAGTCCCAGATAGCTGGGAGCCTGAGGCAGGAGGCTAGATTGAGCCTAGGAATTTGAGGCTGCAGTGAGGTATGATGACACCACTGCACTCCAGCCTGGGTGACAGTGAGCTGCTGTCTCAAAATAATGAGAGAAAACAAAAGGTAAAGTAATGTAGGCTTTCAAAGAAACCACAAAAAAAAAAAAGTTCAGTAATTCCCCTTATCTGCAGTTTCACTTTCTGCAGTTTCAGTTACACGTGGTCAACAGAAATAAAAAAATATCAAATGGAGATTCCCAAAATAAACAATCCATAATTTTCAAATTGCATACCATTCTGAGTAGTGTAATGAAATCTTGTACCATCCTACTCCATCCCATCTGGAACATGAAATCACCCTCTTGTCATGAGTATCTGCATTGTATACACTACCCACCCATTAGTCCCTTAGCGGCCATCTCAGTTATCAGACAACTTTCATAGCATCACACTGCTTGTATTCAAATAACCTTATCGAACTTAAGAATGGCTCCAAACAGCAAGTGATGCTGTCAATTTGGACATGCCAAAGAGAAGATGTAACATGCTTCCTTTAAGTGGAAAGGTAAAAACTTTTAACTTAAAAAAATAATCATATGCTGAGGTTGCTGATATCTATAAAAACAAACCTTCTATGCATTGTGAAAAGATTTTGCTAGTTTTAGTATCACACCTGAAATTGCAAAACTTATGGCTGTACACATATGGTCCAGTAGCATCCATGGTGTCAGGAATCCACTGGGGTTCTTGGAACATATTCCTCATGGATAAGGGGGCACTACCCTATTTTTAAAATGAATGGTACCTTTCCATAAATCTTGCTCCACTGGCTTTCATCATCCCAGGGCTTTCAAATGATTTTGACATTTAATTACTTTGAAGAATTTGACATCAGAGGTTGATCTGTCTTCCAGGAATAGAGACTATATAGTCTATACTACTATAAATTCTCTGAGGTGCAGTCCATCGTGAGAAGTGGGTAAATGATTTACCTCAATTCATTATATTTCTAAGTTTTCTCTCCAGTATGAATTCTTTGGTGAATCCTGAAATCAGACCACTGCCTAAAGACCTTCCCACATTCTGTACATTGGTATGGTTTCCCTCCAATATGAATTCTCTCATGACCCCAAAGGTGTGAACGTTTGGTAAAAGCCTTACCACAATCATTACATTTGTGTGGTTTCTCTCCAGGATGTATATTCTGGTGTCTAGTGAGGCTTGAATATTGTTTAAAGGCTTTGCCACATTCATTACATTTGTAAGGTTTCTTTCCAGTATGAATTCTCTGATGAATTGTAAGATTTGAATTTTGGCTAAAGGCCTTGCCACATACATTACATTTATATGGTTTCTCTCCATTATGGATTCTCTGATG